TTGGACCAAGGCTTGAACAGCGATGGGTAGAGCTTCCCATCGCTGTTTGGCATGGTTCTGGAAGTTGGTTTGGCTAAGGGGCTACTTACCCATCGATGGGATGTTCTTCCCATCGCTGGGTGGGTGGTTAGCCAAAAACCTATGGTTTTTGCCTTAACCACGGCCTAGCCAACCGATGCAAAAACCGACCGAAAAATCCAAAGTTCTCCAAAATAAAAACCAAGTGTTTAAAACACTTATTTGATGTATTTGGCTAAGAAATCAAGTGAGACACTTTAAAAATCACGTCATTTGAGTAAAAACCACGGCTAGCCAAGTTTACGCCGTTTTGCGTGGTTTTTGTCAAACGACTAAAAGCGAGAGATAGTTTTCAAAGTGTTTTTGTTGGAGAACCGTTTAAACATGCCAAAGAGTGAAAGCAGATCATAAAATGCTGAAAACCACTTGGTTGGTTCAGATGCCAAAAAACCAAACCCGACAACCGAAAGCCGAACGCTGGTTTCTGAAAGCCGAACACTGGATGGCTTGGTTTTTGGTTTGGGCGAACACCAAGTGTTTTTAATGACTTAAACAAGTTTAAAACCATTTTTATGATGTAAGAAATGCGATGAGAGTTTTTAGCCTAAAGAGCCAAGGTGTAAAGATTGGGTCGGTCTTGATCACAATAAAAACCGACTCAATACTATGATTAAGGTCTTCGTTCTTGGTCTTCGTTTAGCTCTTGCTCTTATCTTCGTTCTTCGCCTTGTATATTCAATGTTCGACTTGATCACGGCGGTTTGGCATTATCAAAACCTGTTACAAAAGGAACACGGCTTTAGTACGAAAACGTGACAAGCCCGTGTTTCAACAATTTCCTCCTTTTTTATAATGGCAAACGAGACGAGGTTATGCATAGGAGGATTATTTTGAAAAAGATGTTCCCCCTTAATAGATGCTATTTTACAAAAAAAATTCCCCCTTAATTCATGCATAACCTTAGTATCTTCCCCCTTTTGACATTAACAAAAAGAATTAAAAGTAAACTTTTAGAATTGTAAAAGTAAACTTTTATTCATGAAAAAGGGAAATGCGGAATACAACGGAATGGGAAAAAAAATAAGAAATACAATCATAGGAAGAAGAGAAAGGAAAAGTCTAAGCATCGGCGTCCTCGTCGTCATCCTCGTCGTCCTCGACGTCCATGGGATCGCCGTCGACCGCATCTTCAAAGTCGGCCTCGTCGGGGGAGGAGGATGGAGCATAGGAGTTATCCTCCTCGTCCTCGCCTTCATAGTTTTGGCCGAGGAAGGTGCTGTCAAAGGGCGGCGGGACGTAGTTGATGCCGCGAAAGAACGCCGTCATGTCGTGGTGTTGGCGTTGCAGCGTCCAGTCCATCCGCTCGATTGACTGCCCCATGCCATCCACTGTGAGGGTTAGCCGATTCAGAGTAT